TGTGAGGCTTGTCGGTAAAAGATTCCAAAGTGAATCACATCGGTGAGAGTCGTGAGACTAAAAGACCTGCTGCAAAGCTACTGCACCTCGTCTCCTTTGCCTCTCATTTCTATTGAACCCCCCTGCCTTCTTTCATTTTCAGCTTTCTCTTCCAGCTATAGTTTCCTTTTCTTCATTTTTTCCGACGAGGCAAGCAGCGAGAAATTCAACGTTTTTCTTTTTCACAATTAATAGATCAAGTAGTGGTAAGTGAGGGTTGAATGATATCACCATTTCTTATCTATTTTTGTGTTATATCCAAACAGGTTATGCATATATATATATATATATATATATATATTTTATGGTTTAGGCCATCAAATAAACTTTTCTAGACACATAGGTGGAATTGCAATTTTAGTTGTAACTTTTAATATTCCAACATGTGTCTTGTCGGTAAATTTAAGGAGTGAAATGCAACATTTTTGTATTTTTGCCTCCTGCTTAAACTGATTTCCTACCTATGTGTATTACGTCGGTAAACTTATTTCCGACGTATACACATAGCCAAGGACCTCTATATAATACCCAAACTCCAGACCCCGCTCATTTTTTCTTTCCTTCCTTCCTTTTTTCTTCTTTCTCCCTTATCTTTATCTTCTATCAAATGCTTCTGATTTTTGTTGTTTATAATTATATTGTATTCAAGTTATTTTTTTATTTATTTCTTCTCTATATCCTCTCTTTTTCTCTTCTATTCTTTTTTCTTAATTTATTAAACACTAATTTGAGCTATTCAAGTTATTTCAAGTTCTAATTTTCTTTTTTGCATGTTGTTTTGTAGGAAACATTTGGAGAAAAACATTGGGTAAATAAATTTTATTCATTTATATCAAAATTTATTTTCAATCATATTTTAATTGTATTATTTGGTTAAATTTATATGTAAATCTTAAATTAATTTATATTTTATCATTTTTTGTAAGAAATAGTGCCATATGAATATCATATCTCTAATTGAGGAAATTTTTAATTTTTTGATTATGTTTTTCATTTATATTTTATATTTTCCTTATTATCTTTATTTTTTCATTTATGATTTAATCTTTAATTTAAATAAATAGATTGAATAATTCAATAAAGTACAATGAATTTTATGTTTCCTACAAATTAAAAATATATTTAGAAACCTTAATCACCAACGTGAAAAA